GGAAGCCTGCTTCTCCCTCTCCCACCCACCCTGCTTGTGTTCCCTCTCTCGCTGTATCTCTATTAAAAAAAAAAAAAAAAGTTTCTTATGGGAGGGAAGGAAAATGTCTAAAGTAATTAGAATCTAAGAATTTAAATAATACTAGATATCCTTAAACCAAAAAGCATAATTACCCAAAGCATAGATAGCCCCATAACACACACACACTCCCAAGCCACAGCGGGGGTGATTCATTGAAGCTACAGTTGTCCACTGTTTAGTAACTGGATCATAGCATTCAGTACAGTCAAAAATCATCGAATCCTTTTCACCTGAGTTAAATAAAAGAGACACATATCAGAAGGTTTAGTGATGCTAATAGCCTAGAACCATAATACAATATTCAGTAGCATTCTGTATTATCAGAAATTCAACTATTATGTCTGATTTTATACTATTCATTAAGATTAGTTTGCCCCATAAGTGTTATTATAAATCAATAGCACTGTCATTTATTAAAGCCCACTTAATGAAACAAGGCATAATTTTCCTATTATCTATTCTAATTCTACCACCCAAATAATCCATGTAATTTTTGGGGATAAAATTTGTACTTTAACACTTCTATATTTTTTCATGTATTAGTTTGGATACCTGGCTCTGGTATAATTTGAATTTTAATGCAATCCTTATCTAGCAACAAAGAGAAAATAAAAATTTCTAAAAAGGTACCACTTAAAATAGAATTTTAAAAAAGACTCTACCTAGAAATAAGTCTAATCAAAGATTGTACAAGACCTCTGGCAGATAAAATTTATAAACTTCATTTAGATAAAATTTTAAATTAAGGAATATCTAAGTAAATGAAGAGATATATCATGTTCATGAATTAGAAGAATCAATGTAAAGATGATTATCCCCAAACTGATTTATAGATTTAACATAATCCCAATTTGAAACACACTTTTTTTATTGTGTTAAAATACAAGTAACATAAAATTTACCATCTTAACCATTTTTAAGTGTAGAGTTCAGTGATGTTAAACACATTCATATTTTTGTGCAGCCATCACCTCTATCAACCCCCAAAACTCTCTACATCTTGTAAAACTCAAACATTATACTGATTCAAACAATAACTCCCCATTCTCCCCTCCCCCAGCCCCAGACAACCACCATTATATTTCTTGTATTTTATGATTTTGACTATTCTAAGTACCTCATATAAGTGGAATCATACACTATTTTTATTTATTTTTTTCCAATTAACATTTTTTAAATTTAAATTCAATTAATTAACATATAATATATTATTGGTTTCAGAGGTAGAGTCAGTGATTCATCAGTCTTATATAATACCAGGGCTCATTACATCATGTGCCCCCCCTTAATGTCCATCACCGTTACCCCTTCCCCCTACCCCTCTCCCCTTCAGCAGCCCTCAGTTTGTTTCCTATGCTTAAGAGTCTCTTATGATTTGTCTCCCTTTCTGATTTCGTCTTGTTTTATTTTTTCCTCTCCTCCCCTATGATCCTCTGTTTTGTTTCCTAAATTCCACATATGAGTGAGATCATATGATAATTGTCTTTCTCTGATTGACTTACTTCACTTAGCATAATACACTCTGGTTCCATCCACGTCATTGCAGATGGCAAGATTTCATTTTTTTGATGGCTGACTAGTATTCCATTGTCATACATTATTTTTAAAGACAGATTTGACAAAAGAAAACAAACAGATTTGATGCACTGGCTCTAAAATTTATATAGAAGTACACAGGGCCCAGAATAGCCAAGCACTCCCACACAAGAATAGTAAGGGCAGAAACTGTCCTATCAGGTAAGCTTATCAGACTTAAAACAGACCTATAGTGATTAAGATAACGATACACAGAGAGAACAAAACAGAAAAGAAATTCTAGAAAGAGATACCAACATATATGATTACCTGATATATGACAGAGTTTGCACTGCACAGCAATAGGGAAACAAAAGCTTTTTATGCTGGGATAATTGGTTATATCTATGAGGAAAAGATGAAACTGGTTCCCTACTCATATTATGTAAAAACTTAATTCCAGGTGGATTGCACACATACATTACAGACATACAGTTAGTTCTAAAACTAAAATTTTAGAAAATAATAAAGGTATATATCCTCATGACTTTGGAGTAGGGAAGGATTTCTTTAAAAAGATACTAGAAACACTAACCATAAAGGGAAAATAAATAATAGAGTTAGCTACATTAAAATGAAAAATACAGGGGCACCTGGGTGGCTCAGTCGTTAAGCGTCTGCCTTCAGCTCGGGTCATGATCCCAGGGTCCTGGGATCGAGCCCCGCACTGGGCTCCCCACTCAGCGGGAGGCCTGCTTCTCCCTCTCCCACTCCTCCTGCTTGTGTTCCCTCTCTTGCTGTGTCTCTCTCTGTCAAATAAATAAAATCTTTAAAAAAATAAAATGAAAAATACATTTATCAAAAGATACCATAAAGAAAAAAAAGATACATAAAGAAAGTGAAAGATGAAGCAGCAGAGTAGCAAAAGGTATTTGCAGCACATATAACATATAACTTTATGAGGGCCTGGAATCCTGAACATATAAAACTACTGTGCAGAAAAGAATCAGCACAGCAGGCCTGAGAATGCCTATCCTTAGAAAGACCTGCTTGCAAGATTGACCCTTGGCTGGAATCTGGAAACATACCTTGTAAACAATTCCCTATACTGATATAAAAATTTCCCTAAATAATAAAAGTGGCCTTTTGCAGTGATAAAAATGTCCTGGAATTGGGGCGCCTGGGTGGCTCAGTCGTCAAGCGTCTGAGCAAAATTTTCTACTACAAACCTGAATTACTTTGATAATAAAAATTATCTTA